AACATTAACAATTCAACAAAGTCAATTAGCACAATCAATTATGAATCGTTGGAAAAAATTTAAATCAATAACTTCTCATAATAATCAACAACATCAAGAAACTCAACAATCATCATCAATAGAAAATGATCTAGAATTAAATAATACTAAAAATAATAATAATAATAATAATAATAATAATATATTAAATATTGATACAGAATCATGTCGAAAATTATTTCGATTACGAACATTTGCTAAAGAATATGATCTTGATATATTTGATAAAAATGATTATGATTTATTAAATTCTAATAGTCGAGAAAAAGTACGTTTACTTATCAATGATCTTATTGATATATATCAAGATATTCCAACTGTATTTATTGATCTATTTCGTTTACAACCTTGTAATGTACAAACATCAACTGATAAAGAACATATGTCATTTTATCAAGAAATTATTGAACTTTTGCCACCTAAATGGTATCAATTATTTGTTCGTGAACAAGAACGACGACGAATGATATCTTGGTTATCACCATTAAATCGAACAAATTCATTACGTGTACCACAATTGACTGCATTTAGAAAGTCTATATCAGAATTTAATAAATCATCCAAAAATGAACGTCAAAAAATGCGAGTACAATTTCAACGACGAACTTCATTACCTGAAACAAGTTTTCGTTTATCAGAAATTAATGAATCAAGATACTGAAACACCTGTTGAAGGTACACGTTTTCGTATAACTAAACTGTACATAAATACTTAAATGTTTGACGATAAATAAAAAACAATTTAAATTTTTATTTCACTTAATAATTTTTTCTGTATATAATTCTATTTTTTTATATATAAAGAACAGAAATCTTATTGTATATTTTATCATAAACTATAATCTTAATAAATCTATATTTCGATACTATGCAAGAGAATCTTATCTACACCCAATCTCAGTCTTGCTATTTCAAGACAAATTTGTCATTATGATGTGTAAACGGTTATACAATGGCTCTAAAAATTGTTCAATCAGATTTATTTTCAATTTTTTCCACTACCATAAATGCTAATATGGTATCTAAGTATCAATTTGTGTAGAAAATTTTATTTTCGAATAGAATTTTCGCAAAATAAAATGATTACTAATTTTTTAAGGATGGGATCTCTGAACAATTGAAATAAAAGTTTTTTCATCTTCTAATTCGAAAATAGAATTCTCTTTGAATTATTCAGAATGATAAAACAAACAATTCTTCACAAAATGAAACGTTTTCCAGTCATCAACAACGTTTTTTGATCGAGATATATTAATGTTACTGAAGACACAAACATGGTATTTCTAAACGACATAGTAGACAAACGACTTTTGCGTCTTCTGTAAGTTTGATATATCTCGATCAAAGAATGTCGTAGACAACTGAAAGACATTTCATTTTGAAGAGAAATGTTTGCTATATCATTTTGGATATTTCAAACAGAATTTCAGTAAATGAAAAGTTTCAGTTTCAGTTTTTCACAAACTCTATCTTTGAAAAACTAGCAATCATTTTTATCTTCGAAAATTGTTGTTGTAAATGAAATTCTCTATGCAAATCGCTATTCAAATTCTTATTAGCGTTTAGAGCAGTAGAAAGTTATTAAAAATAAATATGATCGAATGATTTTGGTAGCTACTATATATGATTTTATGAAACACGATACACTATCATAAAAATAAAAGTGATGTGAAGAATGCAGCATTATTATTGGTTGTAAGGCAAAGTGTAAAGCAATGTTTCTAATATTAAGTGCTTCAAGCAAGAGCAAAGTACTCAAGATACTCACACTTGTTAATGTGTGCTATGTTTTGCACTTTACTAGAAAAATCAATCTACTGTGATGATACCCTTGCGAAGTAGAAAAAAAAATACGTTGGTTATTTATTGTTGCATTATGCATAAATTGCTTGTCTTTCTCTTGTCTATATATTCTACTTCCAGATGAAGTTACACAATATTTTTCTTTTTGTTTATTCTTATCGAATTTATCATTGAAATTTCTCTTTTTTCTTGTTTAAGATTTCCAATATTGTTTCTTATACATACTTTCTTCATTAGTTCTTTTCCAACTTATGTAATTAGGACCTTCAATCGAATCAATTTTATGATCTTGCGAAAAATGCATTAACACGCATGCGCACGAACGATATTAGTTAATTTCATTTTATCATTTATTTTTATTTGTAATATCCATATAATAGTAAAAATTAATTAAGAGAAGTATTTCTTAAACATAACCAGATTAATATGCGTACAAGTAAGACACTGCCAATTCGAAATTTGAGAAGATTTTTTTTATGGTTAGAGAGAACTCGTTGAGTTACCTATAAAAATGTTGTTTTTAACCCCTTCACTATTATCGACGCCTATAGGCGTCAGAGCACTCTTTATGGAAAAGATGAAAAATATAATTCCTTAACTTTGTTTTCTTTGTATGCTATAGGTCGACTCTAACATCCTGCACCTATTGGATCTCCTTCTACTGATTCTGATGTCTCATATCGATTATTCGATTATATTCTTGTGTATCAAAAGTTAGTTTACAAAAAGTTTACTAGATAGTTTTAAAAAAAACTTAACGGTCAAGGGGTTAAACAATGTTTTTGTAGTGAAAATTAGGAAAGTTAGATTTAAAAATACCAGAAAAACCTATAAAGCTTAAAATACGTCAAATGCATCAAATTTCAGTAACCTCAATATTTATCCAAATTTTTGAAAAAAATCGACTTTTTTGATATGATAGCAAAAAAGTAGGGGTGGCATTTTCCTGTTAATTTATTTTAAATTTAAATTTTGAAAAATTTAAATTTAAAAAAATGTAAATTTTTTCAATAACAAAATTTATACTTAAAATAAGCTTAAATTTTCCGAATTAAGAGTAAAAGGAAATGTAAATTTTTATTACACCAAAAATTTATAATTAAAATAAATTTAAATTTTCGAAATTTACATTTAAATAAATTTTAACTAAATTAGAGTTTTCTGTCTTGCCTCTCAGAATAAAAGCAACATTTTATATTAAATGTATGGTATAGTGTATCAAAACCAAATGATAGCCACTCCAGTAGGTTGAAATCGATTACATTTAAAAATCTGATTCGTATTTGAGAAAACTACCCATTCAACTGGATTTTTCGAATCATAAAAACAATCACAACCTAGTTTTAGATCTCATTTTTGCATTTGATAAACTTATGGAAAGCTGCGAAATAATCGAGTCTTTCAGCATATGGTTATTAGATCTTGCGAGAACAATGATGTTTTCTAAAAACTAGTGCCACTAAAAGTAAACAACTCGTCCTGTCTTACATGAATAATCTAAAGAATTTTGATCGAACAATTCTTTTTGACCAAGTAGTTTCCGTTTTGACAATATATATAATTATTACCAGAGTAAAATAATGGGTAATGGTAGTTATCGCTCTTTCTATCGCTCACCTGGTGCATCTATCTTCATACGGATAAATAGAACATCCAGCTAACACTTTCGATTGTATCTGAAGTGTGAAAAGATCAAAACATTTATGTCGAGTATGCCTAAAGGCTAAGTTATAATTTTCAAACACTGGAATAAAGAATTACTGAACAAAATTATTTTTGAAATATAAACTGCTGAAAGCATGCCTGTTGGACCGTAACGAGAAACAATATAATTGATAGAGACATGTGATCTTGATATGGATTATGTTGTTTGAAACAACATAATAAATAAAATTTTTTAATTTCATTTATATTTATTTTAAATGTAAATTTCGAAAATTTAAATTTATTTTAATTATAAATTTTGGGTGTAATAAAAATTTACATTTCGTTTTACTCTTAATTCGGAAAATTTAAGCTTATTTTAAGTATAAATTTTGTTATTGAAAAAACTTACATATTTTTTAAATTTAAATTTTTCAAAATTTATTTTCGGATTTAATAAATTGGCGTAAATGTAAATAGGCCACCCCTATTTTTACCGTGAAAAAACGAACTTGGTTTTTGGAAAAAAAGACATTTGTGAACGTTATCACCTTCAAACTCGTTTGTTTTTCAAAACAAAATTTTTTTTAAAGTCTAAAAAGCGCACATTTTTACACGTAGAAACACGTATTTTCATTCATTTTGTCTGACTGAGAAGGTATTCAACAATGAAAACAAGTGTTTTTTCTCAGATCGAAATATGTATCTTCCAAAAAAAAAAAAAAAAAGATTCACGGTAGGAGTCAGTTATGAAACAACTCTAATAATGTATAAAGAATAAATGAAGAATTTACAAAAGCAAAAAAAAATATGGTGATAAAAAGTGTAGATTGTTCTTCTTATAAAAGAAGTCATTATCTTAAACTGAAATAGTTGGTTGTTAAAATTGTCTTTGATAAACTTCATGTTGTTGGTGGTGAAATTTATGAGTATTTAGTTCAACATGATCAAGTACAAAACTATGGTAACCTAAATTTGAAATATCAAAAAGCTATAAACTAATAAGCGTGAAAATTATTCAAGAAATGTAGCTGGATATGTTTTAATTACTTTTTGGTGTATATTTTATTCCATACATTGCTGTATCGTCAAATGAAGCCGTTAATATTTAATAAATGAATAATAAAGTGATGAATACATCCATAAGAAATCATAATAGAAAATATAAAAGAGAAAGGAAAACGCTATGATCCATTCGAGGTCAAATAGGCTCAACCAATTCAAAGTAAATGAAAAAAGATGATTGACCTTTCTATCTAGCAACACTAATTCTATTAGGTAGTTCATTTTCAATTGGTCCAATCTCTTTATTATTCTTCCTTCATAGAACAACATGACGGTATAAATATTTCTCTGTCATTATTCTGATGGACGTCAACAAGGAAATGCAAATATATATATAGATTGACACGATTACATTATATGAATTAAACATGAGCAAATCTAATAACGTTCAACACAATATACTTGATTTACCTGATGAAGTTTTATTCATTATTTTCAAGAAACTCAACATGGTTGATGCTTTTTATTCAATTTCTGATATCAATCAACGATTTAATCGATTAGCACTTGATTCTCTTTATATTCGTCATCTTGATATGACCACTATTACAAACATGAATTCACTCTATAACCAAATCTCTTCAATGGATCCTCAACTTCTTTCAAGAATTTGTCAAAAAATCTTACCTCGAATTCATCATGAAGTATATAAACTTACTGTTGAACAAGATTCAATGAAACAAATTCTTCTTGCTGCCAATTATCCTAGACTTTACTCATTATCGCTTATAAATTTTGAAGAAGAAATAATTTATCAATATTTAACAGGTATAGTATTTGATTCTTTGAACTAAGAAAATAATCGATCTAGTTAGATAAAAATTTATTTTATTTTTTAAAGATAATTTGGTTCTTCGTGATCTTCTTACCAAACAAATAACACATCTTAATATCGATATAAAAAAACCAGTAGACCCCTGGTCGGATACTCTTTTAAATATTATTGCATTAACTTATCTTTATGTAAAAAATTAACTGTTTTGAATTTTGGTGATATGTTTATCACACGAAAGTTTGCGATTCCTTTTTTTTTCTGTCATCAGAAATTAGTATGTCATCAACTTTGATGAAATTGACAATCAATGTCTTGAATTTTGCTGATTGTCGTTGTGTGGTTGATGGGCGTTTTTCATGTTTATCAACATTAATTATTAACGTTGAAAATGTTGTGGACCCAATGGGAGATATAGCTGAAACAGTAAGTATAATTTCGAATGATCATGCTTATAGAAATAATAGTAAACCAAATAAATTTATTTTGTTTATAGAAAAAACTTCCCAAATTGAAATCTTTCTCATTCACGTCATTTTATCTGACATTTAATTATGATACTTTGATTGTTCCATTACTTTGTCAAATGATAAATCTTGAAGAATTAAAATTATATCTAGATGTAGGAAGATTTAATTCGACTTTTATCGATGGTATTCAATTATATGATCAATTTCTTATTCATATGACACAATTAAAAAAATTTACATTTTATATCAACACAACCGTCTTCAAAAATAAAAATAACACTAGAGTTGAACTTCCGTCAAATGAAGATATTCAACATAGTTTCATCGGAAGAGGTTATCAACAAGTAGCTTGGTATGTTGACACGAAATCATCTGCATGGGATGGCGAATGTCATATCTATTCACTGCCATACGACTTCGAATATTTTGTTAACCTCGACAAGTCTTTTCAAGGCGGCATGTTTCATAAAGTTCGAGAATTAACGATATGTGGTAGAGATCCTTTAGAATATAAACTATTTCAAATCATTTCTCATGATTTTCCTTTTCTCGATGTCTTATATATATCAAATAGATATCCAATAAAAGACAAACAATATTCATCTAAATTGATCACATTTCCTTATCTCACATTTCTTGATCTCCAATATACACATGTTGACTATCTCGAATTATTTCTCTTGAAAAAAAATACTTATCTACCTCGTTTGTTAAATCTCTCTATGGAATATAAATCACTCACGATGATAACAAATAATTTTACCAATAATCCAACGCATTTCAATTTCGGTAAATTAAAAAGTCTTGATGTATGTAAATCTTTTGTTCGTCCAGAAAATTTTCATGAATATTTTCCTTTGTTATAAGTTGTTTCAATAAAAGAAAATACTTGGGGAAGATTAAATATCTTTTTTTTTAAACTATGGTGCAACAAAAAACACAAGTATAAATATAATGAATTCGTTCACTTTTCTCAGACAGATAGAAAAATCATTGATTTTATTTTTATGTTTACATATGTCAATCAAGACAATTGTGGGAAATAAAATAAACTGTTTACATAGATTTTATAAAGAAAATTATTTCTTTCGCTTTTCTACTAAATTTTTATGAACCATACCGATTTAAAGATAATATTTGGTCATTATAGTTGTACGACAAGGAAAAAGATGATGACACTGGAATCTGTTGAAAGAAATCCAATAGTTGATTTATTAAATAAGTATTATCTAATTCAAATGATGATTTAGACATGATTACATCAGACATTCTTGATAAACAATGTTCATACAGACCAGAAGAAATATATGTATATCAAGAAGAATTTGTTTCTTTGATGAATTATAATAAAGAATATACATGTATAATAAATATTATTTGTTAGATTAGTTTTTTTTTTATATTAATTTAGCAAAAGATGGCGAACGAGCTAAACCGATTTGATGTGATGCTCAACGATCAGTTCAAGCTCCAGTTGAAGGTGATCCAATATATCGAAGTATATTTAATCTATTGAATTGTTTCGTTATTAAATAGGCGTTTTTCCTCTCTAGTTGATTATCGTAAACGGTGAGTTGGTCGAATTGAAGCAACTCGACATGCAAAGACGTAACCAGAAATTTGCTTCAGGGAGTGCCTACTAGCAAAAAAAATTTTGACTTATGAATTATTTTTTAGACCTGTACCCTTCTTCAGACATTTTTTTTTGTCCAAAGGGGGTGTCGGGACATCCAGGACACCCCGTGGCTACGCCTCTGTCAACATGATAATGGATATGTAAGATTAACTGAACCAAATATTTTTTCTAATCCTTCTTTTTGTTCGTTTGAGAGACCACCATCAGACCCATTTCTTGGTGGAAGTATCTATTCGATCTGATCAATCAGTTTTACATTCTCAACAGCCATTTGATGATCGTACTAGTTATCGTACAGATTATGTTCCTCATCCTCAACAAGAACGTTTTCAAGGTAAACGAGAAGTATATATTCCAAATTCATCGGCTTTATATTCTTTAATAACAGATCGAGAAGATTTTATATCAAAAGATGGTACGAAAAAAAAGACAAAATTTTCTTTTTTTTCTCTTGTTTGAACTGATCGAATACGTTCAATGAAATTAGATCAACAACGCGTTATCGTTCAAATGCTCCTTTTGATGACACAACAACCAGTAAAACAGATTATAAACCTTGGACAATACAACCAATTCAAACACATAGACTTGATGAATATCGAGCAAATACTGATGACATGGATTTAAATACAATTGATATGTCTAGTTTATATAAATGAATATTATTTATCAAAAGAAGAAAAGTGAGAGAGTGACCAAAAAAAAAATCAAATCTCTTCATAAAATAAAACAGCAAGAAAGTAATATTTTTTTTAATTTATTTATTTAATAAATGATGAATGAATATCTGACATCGAAGAAAAAAAGAAAAATAAAGTTTTTAAATGTGAGCAGCAAAATAACGTTGACGATCATTTGTCGAATAGATTTGACCGTCTTGTTCCAAATATTCCACTGCTTGTCTAAATAAAATATTTATTTCATATTAATAAAAATAAAAAAAGTCAAACTTACTGAACTTGTTTTTCACCAAACTGATTGAATTGTTTACAAATGTCTGCTACACTAGCACCGGTTGGTGGTACAGTTTTCAAGTAATTAAGAATGCTCGTACTGGCATGTACAAATTCACTTGAATTAGGATTTGGTGTACTTAATGATTGTATTTGACTAACATCAGGTACATCATCAATTGGTAATGTTGAATTATCAGTTGTTTGACTACTAAGTTGAACTGAGCACCGTTGATTATTGACGTGTTCAATTAATATTCGAATTATTTTTTCTTGAGTAATTGCTTCCTGAAAACGTGCTTGCGTATCTTTGACACGTCTTTCCAAGGGGGAAAAGCGGATCCCGAGATCCCAGGATCCCCCGGATCCCAATAGATCCCAACGGATTCCAATGGATCCCAGTGGGTTTCGCAAGAGGAAAAAATCAGATCCCGGTGGATCCCAGCAAATTCCGGGATCCGGTGGGATCTACCGGGATCCACCAGGATCTATTGGGATCCGTAGGATCCTGGGATCTCGGGATCCGCTTTTTCCCCCTTGCGTCTCTCAGTAAAAGCACCACTTTTGCTTGAAATTACTCGTTTTTGAAATTGTTGATATCTAATCGTTTGTTCAAGAAGCTCTTTTAAACCATCTTCCTAAATAAAATAGATCAAAATTAAAATATTTTTTAAGTCTTATAAGCTTTTTCTTACGCTTAACATTATTCGTTTTAAAGCATCGTAAAACGTATCAAAAGACATGGGTGATGTGTTGTCGAAAGACATTTTTTGTTTATGTTTGTATTTAATTGTAAGCAAACACTTTATAATTACTATGCAACACGTTCTTTTCTTTCTTCCATCTTCTCTTGTTTTCCTCGACATGATATCACTTCTCCATATGAAAAGAAAGAGATGATATCATATCGAGGGAAAAGAAAGAAAAGACGTCTGTTTCTTCTCCATTTGCTTTAATATCTTTTTGACGAAAATAATCAAGAAAAATTTCCTTGATCGAAGAATAAAATCAATTAATTCAACAAACCTTAATGTTATTTAATATGAATCTGAACCTTTTTCATTTTCAAGACTAAAGAGAACTTAATTCACCTTAAAGATATTTATGATATATTTGAGAAGATAAACGTTTTACTTCTGTTTCATTTAAATAGCTATAAAATCTAAATTAAGTAAAAAAAACAAATTTTGATAGTTGGACAATTATTTCACCAATATCGAAACACTTCTCGATCAGCTAATAATTCAAATATATGAATTTGAATGAAAACAAATATAATCTTGTTTTTTCATTCGATGAAATTTTTCTTGTTTAACTTCCATTGCATCTTTTATATGAACTATTAAATCTTTTAGTAAGTCTCTATAATTAAAACATAAACAAACAAAATCGAATCTTTTTTTTTCTACAAACTTAAATGCTTCAGGATTTGTTCGACAAAGTTCACGAATAACTTGCATGTAATTCATTCGATGTTAATGAAGTTAATATTGATAATGTATTATTATTCGTTGTATTTTGTGTTACTATTGAAGCTAATGTTTTTGATGCATTTGAATTCATCATTGCCATTATTTGTGTTGATAAAAGTAGATTATTCGATGATAATATTAGTAAATTTGGTAATGATAATGATAATTGTGATTGTGATTGTTGATTTTGTTGCACTTGTGGTATAATTGCTAATGATGGTGTTGGTGTTATTGTTGCTAATGGGGAAATCATTGCTGTATTTGAATTAATTACTGGAAGTGATGTTGTAGATTGATGAATATTTGTATTAACATTAACATCAGAAATAATTGGAGAAATTGTTTTTACTTCTTCTTGTGTATCTCAAATAATTGAACGATCAACAAGCCATGATAAATCTACTGTTGAATTGCATAAAAAAGATTTGCCTAAAAACAAAAAAATTAAATGCAAAATTTATTTCAATTTAAAATCTCGACCTTTCTTTGTATAATTAATGATGGTGTGATTTTTTTCAATAATAGTTAGAACAGTTGCATCTAAGATATCGATTATACAGATTTGATTTGACTAAAAGATAATTCTCTTTTTCATAGAATTAAACTATTACTATTTTCAATATTTATTTTCTTCCTTCTCTTCATTTGATTGAAATACTTTTTTATCATGAGATTCCAGTTCAAATACTCTACAAGAGAATTTATAGTATGAAAATCTTACGCGGAAACACATCCAACTGTCGAATGCTATATCATTACTATAATGATTCATGAAATTGTTTTTATTCTATATAATAATGATTTTTCCTTATAAACTAACAAAACACAAAAAAGAGCAGTAACACATGAAAAAAGTCTAACAGTTATTTCAAAAGAAAAAAAAACAAACTATACGCAATGAGTGAGATGAAGTTGACGTACAAGTTCTCGATGTTGATTGACTTGACGACAAATGGGCAAACAAATCTGAAGTAAAATTAAAATTCATATCACATAATTGACAAGTAATCTGACACATAAATGTCGTACTAAAATAAAAAAAAAGATAAAAAGAAAAGGAGATAAAAAAAAATCTCTAACATTGTTGCTTTTTCTCGTAGCCAAATAAGATGATAGATCATTTTTAAACGATGTTCATCATTAATTTCAACTGTACATGTTATAACATCATCATGGAGTGGAAATAGTTTTAAATGATCAGGTGAAACATCTTCAGTCATTTTTGGAACACGATCATCGGGATTTAACTAAAATAATAATTAAATAAGATTTCAAATTAAATTTTAATTTTTACTCTATTCCATTGAAATGTTCCAAAATAATTATTTCGATTGGGTGGTAGTTTTGCTTCGAGTAACCTATAATATAAATTAGATTGAATTAAATAAAAATCAAACAAACTTTTGTAATTTAGTTGTAGTTGTTCGTCGAACTGATCGCGTTAAATCTTTATTTCCAGCTGATTCTGCACTATATAATGCTAAATTAATTTGTTTACGAATTTCATTGATCTATAAAACGAAATATATTAAAAACTAAAAGATAAAAATGAAAACATACCCTCACAAGAGCTTCGGTTGATATTTGTACATCAAATCCAATATCCATATCATAATCAGGATATAAAGATGTATTTGTTACTGGATTAAATTCTAAACCACATAAAACTCCTCTTTTCATTTTTTCTTCTTCATCAAGTCTAAAGAAGAAAAAAAAAGCAAATTAAAATATTCTTTTATTTATTAACCTTAATTCAATAGTTGGTGGAAATAACAATTGCAATTAAAGCTAGTAAACCTCGAATAGATGGCATTAAAATTGTATGACGAAGTGAAACAATCTGTCGTGTTTGAGAAAGATGAACATCAAATGCCACAAGTAAACAATGATAATGACAATGTTGTTCTTCTTCTAAACCAACAGAATTTATTGATTCATCATCGATTTGAACACGACGCATTTTAGTTGCATAATGACATGAAGAATGATTTGCTTCTAATGGTGAATATGGACCTAGAAGAATTATTAAAATAAAAATTTTCTCAATTTATTTTTAAAAATAAAAACCAATTAATGTAACAGGTTGATCAATTTCTTTTCGTTCATAAACTTCACATAATTCTTTTTGAACATTGATCACTTGTATTGATGCATTACTTGGATCAGTACTTGATGAAAAAATCAGTTGTATGACTAACAGATCGTTGAGCATCACGATGTATTCGATAATCATGCTCAATTTTATAATTAATTATTTTAAATTAAATTAATAAATTTTATTTTTACTTCAAAAATATATTCTTCATTTGATGTATCAGCAAAACCTTTATTAATTAAACTTTGCCGAAGTGTTGTCCGTCCTATTTCATTTGGTTTTTGTTGATTTCGATTATTAAGTTGTATATCTAATAAAATATCACAGTTAACAATATATCGAGCAATAGATTTTATTTCAGCTTCAACTTGATGTTCAAGAATAAGTGAACAAACATAATTAACAGCTTGAATTGGCCAATTATTTAATGGATAACGAGCGATATTTGGTCGAATTGACCGTAATTGACATTTATATACAAGAGGAGCGATTTTTAATAATGATGCATCAAGTATACGTACTAAAATAAAAATAAAAATAAAAAATATTTATTTTTAAATTTTTACATTGATCAATAGGAATTTGTTCCGTATTTCCCCAATTAACAAAGAAAACTTCAACAGTAACATTATCAATTCTATGTGTTATTCTTGCACGATAATATTGAGAAGGTTTAACAAATTGATTTGTTGTTGTTTGAAGAATAAATGGTGCAGCACACATCATTCCTATTTCAATTGATGTTAATGTTAATGGAATTAATTGACGAGATAAGATTTCATTTATTTGTTTCATTTGAGCATTGGTTTCTCGATCAATATATTGAGCCCAAAAATGATTTACATCAACAACAGTTGGAATATTTATTGTTAAATATTGACATTTTATATCGGGTAATTTTTGCTGTAGTAATGAATAAATTGTTGTTTCACGTTGAGCTAAATGAAGTAAGGCATCACAATGTTCTTCAAATACATTTATTTCATTATTTAATATATTATCTCCTAATTCCCCACCCGACATATATAAACCAGTGGCGTAGCCAGCAGGGAGCCAGGGAGGGCTGAGCCCCCCCCCCCCCTACGGACCTTTGAGCCCCTCCTGGCGAAATTTTAGAAAGACATATTCTTTTTATACCAAAATAGATTACTGTTTGCAATTTTACCTTTTAACATATATATTTAATTTTGTGCAACTCATATGTCTTTGAATAAAGGAAAATACGGTAAATGCAAATACAAGTTTTAATGAGGTTTATTAGGTTATGAGTAGTTTATTTCAGCTTTGCAGGAGGCTGCAGTGATTGGTTTTTATCAGAGCAAAGCGATGTCTGTTGTTGTGAAATCAGAATGAAAGTTCATACGTCTTAGGTAGGTTGTATTGATCATTTTTAAAAAAATTTAGCTTTTACTTAATTTATTAAATATTTTATATAAATTATTATTTACAATTATATAAAAATTTAACATAGTAATGGAGAGTAAAATATATAAATGTAAATATAAATATATAACAATATATATTATAACCGACGTTTCGAACGTAATACGTTTTTTTAGAGTTAAAAAATTTTGTTCTTGAATGGGAATAACTATATGGTTGAACTTTCTTCTTTTTATTCTTCTTCTTTGCTCTTTTCTTGCCTATTTGAATTTTTATACTGGAATGGACGAAGAAAATTAATTTTTACAAGTTAGTTCTCTTCGTCCATTCCAGTATATACGTTTAAATAGGCAAGAAAAGAGCAAAAAAGAAGAATAAAAAGAAGAAGGTTCAACCGCATATTTATTCCCATTCAAGAGCAAGATTTTTGTGTACTCAAAAAGTAAGTACACTCTAGAATCGGTCAGTGTGTCTGGCAGAGCGACCGGCTGTTTACGCGATAACTTTTGAAAGCAGAGTTCAATCATGATGAAATTTTCTACACAGTTTTGTCCCAACAATATCTCGGTTGAGTACGAAGATGAGAATGAGTGTCCGAGCCATTGGTGAGTTATTGTAAAAATAATTATTTTCCCCTATGCTTTCCTATGTGAGGATCAACCAGTCCTTGCTTTCGTAAAAGGCTTTCCCGATCATGGTCACATAAAACCCCAATTATTATATACCATTCGACAGAGAATTTCACAAGCTACAAAACGGTATATAAAACATCAAGAAACAAGGAAGCTAACTCACCTATTGCAAAGATAAATAAACGGAAATCGGTTCTGTTCTTGTCCACGCTCTAATTGATCCACAATTAGAGCTCTATCTTCTGATCGCAAAGGCGATACTCCAGGGTTTTTCGGGATGGAGAACTCGAATTTGTACTCCACTTGCCTCGAAGCTCCATTGATTGAGCACTGATCAATAGAAATCAAGTTATAGGGAAAACGATTTTCTTAGAGTAAATCAAGGCGAAGGCCCCGAACACCGACTAATTCAAAGTGAATTAAAACTGAATTAAAGAATAAATCGTCTCAAAAAGACGATTTAAATCGAAATAGACCAATCACGTTGCTTAATTCGTTTTATTTTTTTCTGTATGTCCGGGACCAAATAGTTCAAATGTGAGCTGTATTCAGCCCCAAATCCTATTGGTTGAGCAGTAGCCAATTGAATTCAAGTGTCAATAGAAAAGGTTTGCCCGGCTAATTTTTATATCCAGATATTCTAGGATGACTGATTTGTCTTATTCACTTTTTGAAGTACACATAACTCTCGGATATAAATCAGAGGTTTCCACATTTATTTCATCTATCGTTGTTATTTCAATTGAACGAAGATCGAACATCTTTTGCCATTTTATATTTGTTAGCTCAGCTTATATTTTGAGGAAAGAATCAGAATAAACAACAATCAACTTTATATTGGGTTAACAGATAAGTTTCATATACCTAAGATGGGTCGAAAATTTTTGAGGGGCTGAGCCCCCACTAGCCCAAAATCCTGGCTACGCCACTGCCCACACCCACACCCCACACCCATCCACACCCCACACCGAATAATAACTACTGAACCTAAACCAGATTCAGTTAAATATGCATGTCGAGAACCAATTCTAACATCATTTAAAGCAAATCCTAGAGGTGGATTTAAACTTGATGTGTAATAAATTTGGTCAACTATATTTGTATTAAGATTAATCTTAACAAATTTTGAACCATTTACAAATGTTCGACTTCCAAGTAGACCAGAATCAACAACCCAAGGATTATCATTTGAATCAGTTAAAATAGCATTTACATTAACAAAACGTTTTTCTGGATTTTCGAATGAATTTGTTGGATTAAATGTATTCCAATCACCATCAGGAACTAGTTTAATAGTGTTGCTCGATAAGTTATCTCATATTTCTTGATCTCCAATATACACATGTTGACTATCTCAAATTATTTCTCTTGAAAAAAATAATTATCTACCTCATTTGTTAAATCTCTCTATGGAATATAAATCACTCGCGATGATAACAAATAATTTTATCAATGATCCAACGCATTTCAATTCTGTGAAATTAAAGTCTTGATGTACATCTATCGTTTGCTCGTCCAGAAAATTTTCATCAATGTTTTTCTTTGTTATAAATTGTTTCAATAAAAGAAAATACTTGGAGAAGATTAAATATCTTTTATTGAAACTCTGATGCAACAAAAAACATAGATATAAATACGCAGGCAGACAAGGGTATATTTAACGAGTAAAAACGCGTAAAGATATATACTTTTTACCGTAGGGGTGGTATTTTCCTGTTAATTTATTTTAAATTTAAATTTTTCAAAATTTAAATTTAAAATAAATGTAAATTTTTTCAATAACAAAATTTATACTTAAAAGAAGCTTAAATTTTCCGAATTAAGAATAAAAGGAAAGGTAAATTTTTATTACACCAAAAATTTATAATTAAAATAAATTTAAATTTTTGTTATACCAAAAATTTATATTTAAAATAAATTTAAATTTTCGAAATTTACATTTAAATAAATTTTAACTAAATTAGAGTTTTCTGTCTTGTCTCTCAGAATAAAAGCAACTTTTTATATTAAATGTATGGTATAGTGTATCAAAACCAAATGATAGCCAATCCAATAGGTTGAAATCGATTACATTTAAAAATCTGATTCGTATTTGAGAAAATCACCCATTCAACTGGATTTTTCGAATCATAAAAACAATCACAATCTAGTTTTAGATCTCATTTTTGCATTTGATATACTTATAGAAAGCTGCGAAACAATCGAGTCTTTCAGCATATGGTTATTAGATCTTGCGAGAACAATGATGTTTTCTAAAAACTAGTGCCACTAAAAGTAAACAACTCGTCCTGTCTTACATGAATAATCTAAAGAATTTTGATCGAACAATTCTTTTTGACCAAGTAGTTTCCGTTTTGACAATATATATAATTATTACCAGAGTAAAATAATGGGTAATGGTAGTTATCGCTCTTTCTATCGCTCACCTGGTGCATCTATCTTCACACGGATAAACAGAACATCCAGCTAACACTTTCGATTGTATCTGAAATGTGAAAAGATCAAAACATTTATGTCGAGTATGCCTAAAGGCTAAGTTATAATTTTCAAACACTGGAATAAAGAATTACTGAACAAAATTATTTTTGAAATATAAACTGCTGAAAGCATGCCTGTTGGACCGTAACGAGAAACAATATAATTGATAGAGACATGTGATCCTGATATGGATTATGTTGTTTGAAACAACATAATAAATAAAAATTTTTCAGTTTAATTTATATTTGTTTTAAATGTAAATTTCGAAAATTTAAATTTATTTTAATTATAAATTTTGGGTGTAATAAAAATTTACATTTCCTTTTACTCTTAATTCGGAAAATTTAAGCTTATTTTAAGTATAAATTTTGTTATTGAAAAAATTTACATTTTTTTTAAATTTAAATTTTTCAAAATTTATTTTCGGATTTAATAAATTGGCGTAAATGTAAATAGGCCATCCCTACGAAAAAGTCGTAAAAACAGGTTCATATTCGGAGTTTTTCATGGTCAGAACTTCAGTTCCAAAAGAAATGAATATCATATTCAGAATCAACACAAAAATCTACTACATCGAATAGTACACTCAATGCTCAAAACAAATTTTCATCAAATTTCGCTGCTCACACCTTCGCACTGTTATTTCCGAAGAATCTGATCTATGGTTCTCCTAAGATCGAAATTTGACGAAAATTTGTTTTGAGTATTAAGTATACTATTCGATGTAAATTTTTGTGCTGATTCTGAGTATAATATTCTTTTTTTTTGAAACTGGAGTTCTGATCGTGAAAAACTCTGAATATGAATTCCTTTTTATGCGTTTTTTTGCTAATACATCAAAAAAATCGATTTTCTTAAGAATTTGAATAAATATTGGGGCTACCGAAACTTGATGTATTTGGCGTATTTCAAGTTTTCTAGATATTTCTGGCACTGTTAAACCTAACTTTCCTTAGTTTCATTACAAAAACATCGTCCAAAAACAATACTTTTATAGGTAACTCAACAAACTCTATACAACAATGAAAAAGATATTTTGCTTAAATTTCGCATTGAAAATACCCTACTCATTTGACTTTATTTCAGATTTCCATTGTAAATCCTGCTGTAAAGTGTTTGTTTATAACAAAATTATCTTATAATTAAAATTATTACAATTTAACAGTGGTAAAATTTTACGATAACTAACTATCAATATTTAAACCACATTTTGTATTTGTTTATAGAAGAGAATGAATGCTAAAAAAATATTCATCGTGATTGTTAAGAGCGTCCGATGAGTAGCGACCTCTAATAGATGAATTATTCTATAGGAGCATCGTTAATTTACAATGTGTTGTACTGTACTATGCTATCCTATCCTACCAGCATCGTTTGTTTTTGTTTGCTATTGCTACTACGGCGCCATGTGGTGCATGGCATTGAATATTGACGATGAAAATTGATCGAAGCGCACATTATTCTTCCGTTTTTTTTTCTTCTTTCATATACAGATCGATGTTAAATTAAATATTAGTAAAAATCTCCAATGCAATCATCTACACGTTTAAAATCATCGACACTTGATCGATCGTTGCAGAAAACAAAAGGAGATGTAATTATTAAAAGAAAATCAAAATACATAAAAAACAATCCGTTTTATCCTTTTTTTTTAGGCAAATTTTAGTACATTTGCATTACTATTTTCTGAAATGGTGCAATACTCACAAAATCGTGTTGATAATATACATGATCTTCAAAACAGGTAAAGCTTTTTTTTCTTTTCTTTTATTATTTTTCAATCATAAAAAATATTTAAATAGATTGGCTGATTTTGGTAAACATGTAGGTATTCGTGTACTCGATTTATTTTTTCTACGTGTTGGTAAAGACAAACGTGAAGTACGTCTCACACCAATGCTTGTATTTATTCAAAAAGTTTTTTGGAAAGTAAGTTGAAAATTCTAAAAATACATATATATATAAAGTTTTTATTAATTAAATAATTTTTAGTTTTTATTTAATCGTGAAGCTGACAATCTTGAACAACATGCACAAGAAGCAAATGTTTGTATGTATTTAAAAATTTTTTATTTTTTTGTTTAGATCGAATCGATTATTTATTTAGATTATCTCATTGAACGTGAATGTCTTGTTAATAAATTTATTTCTGTTCCTAATGATAAAGGTATAGAAATAATTGTTACAGGAAAAAAAGCATGATGAAAATTTTTCTTTTTTTAAGGCAATTTAAATTGTGCTTCATTCGTAGCTGGTATTATTGAAGGTGTCCTATGTACGAGTAGTTTTACATGTAAAGTTCTTGCTCATCAAGGACCTCGTGGTACAACTTATGTAATTAATTTTGACAAATCAGTTATAGAACGTGAAAGTCGACTTGATAGTAAATGAATAGAAATTAATTAAATCAAAAAACGCAATTGTCTTCTGTTATTAAAGATCAAATCTATAATTATATTAACTCTCGTTTTGTTTTTCTAGATGTATATTAAAAGGTAGATATACAAAAAAAAAAAGAAGACATAAATTATGGCAACAACAATGTTAACATCAACTCCTACTAAAGAAAAGAAAAAAAATTCATCATCAAATAAACAAAATCGATCAAATGTTGCTGGTACACTTAAAGTAATTAATTATTGAAAAATTATTTTATTTATATTAAAAGAATATTTTATTTATAGCGTAATCCAAAATATGAATTGAAAAAAGATGAACTTATTCAATTATTAGGACGTTTTGAAGCTGAACTTCAAGCTAAAGATATTGCATTAGCAGCATTGAAGGTAAAATGCAGTGTCTCAAAAAAAAAAGAAAACATCAGGATTACATTCAAAATGGCTTGTATTTTATTATGAATGATTACGAGAGAACTACTCGGATGGATAGCTACCATTTGGGCTTACAAAGAGGCCTCAGTGAGACTAGCAAAAGTCTAAAAAGCTTCATCGTCATAGGCTAATGGCGCCGAGTTATAACCGGTTTCGCTAGTCTAACTGAGACTTTCTCATTGGTCCAACATTTGAATGCTTGTCTTTTTATCTAAAAAAAAGGAGATTTGTACATTCTTATACTTCAATACAAAGTTCACAAATAGCCGATAAAAACTATTATTACTCGTCGCAATGTAAAAACTTTGTATTCTTCTCATGTCATAAAATAGTGTCCTGCAGGGACGACATTTTTCATCTTAGAGAACACCTATCATTGCTAGACAAGAGTCTCTATCAACGTCGCACTTTGCGCAACGTGTGATAACCTTCAACTAAAATTATAATTATCATCGAAGGTACATTTTAATAAAATCAATCAATTATTATTTATACGTCGAAATTTATCAACTTTAAGTTAAGAGAATTATCTTCTTCATCAATTGAATAATGATAAGAGAAAAAAAATACTAGTATATCAACAACATCGATGAAAAAACGAAACCATTCAAGAAGAGAAAACCTCTATTGTGAGATAATATGAATAAGAGCTCGTTCGACGATAAAAATTGAATTATAATTTAATAAATAATGAATGAATTTGTCTGATTTTTAGAATTTTTCTTTTAATTAATAAGTAATACAAAAGTTTTTGTAAGAATAGTGAAATCTATTTCTCAACAATGTAACATCCGATTGACTTTCGACAATTTTTAGTTTGAAATAGCAAAGTCTGACGAGTACATAAATAAAACAAAATGATTTTCGAGAACGTTCATTTTTTAATGTCGTTCCCGTTCCCGATTCTCACGGGAAATATTACGGGAAAAAATCGTTCCCGCAGAACAAAAAAAAACAATCAGTAATGTTTTTTATTTCTATCTTTACTTGAATTTATTTATAGCATTATTATATAGTTTAAAGCATTAACATGGC